ATATCTATAAATAATTTATAAAATGTTAAGCAATATATGTTTAGATTAATGAATATTATTTATTAAGTAAATAATTATATGAGAAAATCACAAAACTTTGTTATAAAAAATTATATAAGATTTGATAGGATTCTAATCTTTAATTTTAATTATTTAACTAATTAGGAACTAGTATGTGAAGTATTATTTTAATTATAAATTTTGGAAAAATGGACATTGATAGGCATATTGCAACACTTTTAAATGGAGGATGTTTACCAGAAAGAGATCTCAAATTGATTTGTGATAGAGCAAAGGAGATTTTTCTTGAAGAATCTAATATATAACCAGTTAGGGCTCCAGTAAATGTTTGTGGGGACATTCATGGTAAGGATGACTTAAATAAATAGGATAATTCTATGATTTATAAGCTTTAATGAAAGAAGGAGGAGACATTCCTTCATCAAATTATATCTTTATTGGAGATTTTGTTGATAGAGGCTATAATTCAGTTGAAACAATGGAATACCTATTATGTTTAAAAGGTAATCTTTTTGATAATTTTCAGTTAAATATCCTGGAAACATTATGTTACTCAGAGGAAATCATGAATCCCGTTAATGCACTCAAGTTTATGGTTTTTATGAAGAATTACTTCGTAAATATGGAAATAGCAGCCCATGGAGATTATTTATGGAGGTCTTTGACTGCTTGCCATTAGGAGCCCTAATTGAAGGTTAAATATTATGTGTTCATGGTGGTTTATCCCCAGACATGAGAACAATTGATTAGATAAGAACAATAGATAGAAAGGTATTTTTTAATTATTATAATTTCTCCCATTATAGATTGAAATTCCTCATGAAGGACCATTTTGTGATCTAATGTGGTCTGATCCTGAAGAAGTAGAATATTGGGCAGTAAATTCTAGAGGAGCTGGTTTTCTTTTTGGAGCCAAAGTAACAAAAGAGTTTTGCAGACTTAATGATCTTACTTTGATTTGTAGAGCACATTAATTAGTTATGGAAGGATATAAATATTGGTTCCCAGTATGATAATTTAATATTCTTAGGACTAAAACTTAGTAACAGTATGGTCAGCACCAAATTATTGTTATAGATGTGGAAACATAGCCTCAATTTTATGTTTGGATGAAAACTTGAATTAAACTTGGAAGACTTTCAAAGAAGTCCCTGAAAGTGCTAAGAGCATTAATCCAAAGAGTGTATTACCATACTTCTTATGAAGTATTTAGATAGAATATATTTTGATACTTCTTATGAAGTATAATATAATATTAATAGAATATCAATTCTTTATATTTTGATATGATCTTCTTTAACCTATGTTGCTTCTATCTATATTTTCATTGTCATAAATTCGTTTGGTAGAAGGACTTTTATTTTTCAAAGTATCCCTGTTTTGCTTCTCAACAGATTTTCTCATGGGAGCAGGACTTAAATTTTTGACAGAAGAACTAGGTCTATTTAAACTAGATTAACGAATAGGTTGATTTATGGGTAATTAATTGTTTCTTAAACCAGGAGGTATAAGCTAAAATTAGTTTATTTAGAAATACAGGTTTGGAGACATCCTTCTTAGGAATTTGAGGTGTTTGAATTGGAGATCCTTTTCTTTCATTTACAGATGCCGATCTTGTAGATTTTGGAGGTTATTTAATTGAATCATATTCATTTTTATTGGTTTCATAAGTTGGTTTGGGCAATTTAGCTTATAATTATTTAAGATTTTTTGGTAATAGAATAGTTTGAAGTAATTCAGCATGATGATTATTTCCTTATTCTTAACAATATTATTCGACAAATGGTTTAACATTTGGATCACAGAGGATCTAATCACAAGTAGGACGTAAATGAGCAGGTACTTTGAGTAATTAACTAATCATTGCACTAAGTGAATTGGAATATGATTTTGGTATTTTTTCATAAACACCAGATGATACCTTTTTGAATAAGGCTTAAACATCTTATGCTCTAAAAGGAGGCTTTAAAGTAGCCATTTCATAAATAACACATCCTAAAGACCATATATCAGAAGGTGAAGAATAAGGTTAATCTCTCCATACTTCTGGACTTGCATAATCTAATTAATTTAATAAATTACAAGGTGTTCCTGTTTAGGTTTTCGCTAATGCTCCATGTGAAACTTTACTTACATTTAAATCACCAATCTTATATTTACCATCTATAGATTTAAAGACGTTAGCACTCTTTAAATCACGATGCAAAATACCAGACTTATGTAATACTCTTAAACCTAATGTCATGTGTGCCAATGCTTTCCAAATCTCTTTTTCTTCTATTTAATTCTATTTCTTTATGCATGCTGTAATTTATTTCTATATATCTCCTCCTCCTGCAAATTCCATTATGACACACAATTAATTTGATAATTCATCGAAGAATGCTTCTTTATATCCTATAATATGTGCATCATTTATTGAAGCCAAAATTCTTATTTCATTCAAAGCATTCTCCCTCTCCTTTTATTTTAAATTGTTAATTCTCACCTTCTTCATAGCATATTCACACTAATCACTCACTCTTTTAACCTAATGTATATTAGTTTAAAGTACCCTGAATACTTATCCAAAGGAACCTTCTCCTAATTTTTAGAGAATGGTGAAATCTGCAAGGGTTGTAGATTTTTACATTTTAATTTGAATTTCTTAAACCTGTTAAATTATTAATAATTTAAAACAATTTAGTATTGAATCATAATAAATCATTTACTATCACAATATGAAATCATCATTATGATAGATAAAATCAATTGTATTTGCAACCCATATTATATCCCTAACGAAGATCTATGAAATTTCCTTTACATCTCCATTAGATCATTTATATATCTAAAATTATTATCACTAATAGAATAGATAGTAAAACATTTATTAAGTTCAATTAGATACACTAATAGTTAAATTCATTTTTTATTTATCAAAAGTCTAATAAATATTAAAAGAAAATATATATATATATTGATAAATAACTTTGTTCAAGAATCTATATAGACATAGTTGAGAATCTATTTAAGATTAAATTAAAATGATTTTACTTGATTTATGATATAGATTTAAATATAAGTACAAAATTATCACAAAAACATTTATAGAAAAAAGACAAGCTGTAATAATTAAAAAAAAGAATAAATTGTTTTTTCAACAATAAGATCATGTTACTTATGAATATATTGATTTTCATTAGTCAATGAATGTTTCACCATTTCCAAATGATTATTTGATTGCTCCTTCGACAAATAGGAATTCAATTGGTCTACTTCTCATACATTTATTGGAAACTGTGTAGGCAGTGGTTCCATTTTCTTAAATAAGACTCAATGATCCTTTTTCTGGTACATGAATAGATAAAATTTCAAATGGTAATCCAAAAAATGTGACATTATCTCCTGGGCATGATTTAGCATGTTCTCCTTTAAAATTACATTCGCTAAAAACATAAATACAACCCTCTTTAAATGATGTAACTTTTTCATTGCTATAAACTTTTTTTTATGGTTTTGGTTCATCAAATGAATAATTGGGTTTTTCTGTTGCTCTTACTGCATTAGGATTTGGTTGATCAATAATAAACATAGATTCAACAAATTTAATTGTATGATCAGTTTCTTCAGTTGGTGTTAATAACAATGCTTCTTCGTAATTCAAAAGAGATGACAATTACTCTTTGATTGATTCATCTGAACTTCTTCCTAAAAAGGTTGGTAATCCTTTTTTTTTAATTGTATATATTTCAGTTGATAAATCCTTCTATTATTTAACATGCTTTTGTTTTTCAAGAAAACTCTCTTGAGCTGTAACGATTACCAATAAGAGTGCTAAAATATATAATTTTTACATATTAATAAAAACGGATTTATAATATATGAAATATGATTGATGAATTTGTTAGAAGTCAATCATTTTCATATATTAAGAAATATCTTTAATAATATTTATATATATAATCTATATATCAGAATTCTATGAACTTTAAAATTTAACAGATTTAATGTAATAAAATAATCATTCATAAATTAGTAAAAATTAATGAATTAGATTGAATAATAAATTGATATCAAACAATAAATATAAAAGATAGAAGAATCTAATATTAAATGTTTTTAATGGAATATTTTAATATGATAATTGAATCAAGATTAAAACCTTGAATTCTTATCAAATTTATTTTGTTATATCAAAATTAATCTTATTTACTTATGGATTATATAATAATATAAATAATAATTATTAAATAATTGGTACGTTAAAAAATGAAAACAAACAGAGAAATTTTAGATTGGTTGAATAGATGTAAATGTGGAAAATTGGAACTAAGGAAACATTTAAATACAATTGAGTAAATAAAAGTATAATTCATTTAAAATTCGATTAAAAGTTAGATATGATGTTGAGTAATCAAAAAGTATAAACATTGAAATCTATTTCATCTTCAAAGATGAATCCAGATTGTCGGACTGCTGAATCTGTATATGAAGATAAAAGATAATATAGTCTAATATAACATGGCAATTATTCTGATGATTAAGATTATAGAGTGTTTATTAGTAAAAATAACTATTACGATACTAATTAAATATAGAATTAGAGATCCATTAAAAAACCGATATTATAGGAATTTTCTGGTAAATAAGATTCAGATACTATTGATGATATATTTAAATTATCCTAAACAGATTAATCAATGTCTTAATAGTAATTTATTTCCAATAAAGATTTTTATGAATCTAATAAAGAAAAGTAATAATATGGAATAAATAATAAAGATGAAAAGATCTATTAAAATAATTAATATAACACTCAAAATTTTGAAATTTATTAAGAAATTTCATTAAAAGAATCATTATATCAAATAGATAAAAGAATTAAATAAATTTAAAAAGAAGAATTTTAAAAAAGTTATCAAAATGAAAACAAGACATTTGATCAGTATTATTAAGAATATGTTACAGATGAAATATCTAATATATAACATGAAATATAAGAAATGCAAAAGTATAAATATTAAGAAAATATGTTTACAGATTCTTGAAAAGAATTTAAACAGCAAAAGACAAATTGTCTAGCAGTGTCTAAGATTTGAGTTATCAAAATAGTTAAAGATCTATGTAAAAATTGAATCAAGATTTGGATATAATATAAACTTTAAGAAATAAAATGCAAAATTAATTACAAAATAATGTAGATGATAATAAATTATTACGATTGAGATAAATGAAATAATAGATATAAGAATGCTTTAATGATATTGAAGAAGAGATAATTAAATTAAGTAAATGATATCCGTTTTACCTTTATATTATATATATATATTTTTATTTTTTAATGAAAATAGTTCTAATAACATTGTTCATTGCCTTAGTATTCTCTTAAAATTAGGCATTAAATTAAATTTAAGACAATCCAATTCCTACATTAGTTTATGAAACAAAAAATGAAGAATCACAATAAATTTAATAACATTAACAATTATAAGGTTATATAGATATTGATGGTCATTTTGTATCCAATTAAGCTGATAATACATAAAATATTAAATCTGAGCCTATTATATAAAATAATTAAGATGAAAATTCTAATAGCTAAATGACTATAATTGATAATTCTAACAATTTATAAGCTACTACTTAAGAAGGATCATAATAATTAGTTTCAACTGATGCTGAAATTGATCCTGTTTTTGATATGGAAAATTCAATACCTTATGAATTCCCAGAAGATACATAAGTCTAAGAAGAATCAAAAGATTAAGATGATGATAATCATTATTTATCAGCTAGTTTAGAATTGTAATTATTTCATAATTAAATTAAGACCAATTAGAAATCAAAATTAAGTTTATGATTCTTTAGGAAATTAAATCGATTCTTATGATGGTATGAAAACATACTTGTAAATTATTTCATAAATTTAGAGCTCTAGATATAGCTGAATAAGATGATACTTAAGCAAACATTAGTGTATAAGAAAAATAGGAGGATTGCATTGTGATTTATTCAAAATGTGATTTCTAAGGAGAAAGCTTACCAATATGTGAATCTTTGAAGGAAGTTGAGTAAAATTAAGCGAAATTTTAGGGATTTCTAATATGATATAAAGTCCATCTATTTACCTGAAGGATACTAAATGACTATATATTCAGAGGAGAATTATTAAGGATAATAAGTTACATACTAAGAGAGTTAGAAGTGTTTAACACAAGCAATATCACTTGCCTAATTAAGAGGAAGATAGACTTAATAAATTTAGAATCAAGATCCAAATCAAAGTATTTTAACATCAAATCTAAGAATTAGATAATGATGATTAATTATAAAAATAAAATATTTATTAATTACAAATTTTACTTTTCGATTCATATAAATATAACTAAATCAATTGTTATATCAAATATTCTTATTTGACATAGCTATTAACAAGATCTATTTACAGAAGCATTCTATTTGTATATTATTAAGATTGAAATATTACAATTACTTAAAAATACTTAACTTTAATTTAATAGTTGGTTTTATTGAGAAATTTGATCCAAATCTAAAGATTTTTTATATTTTTAATTCTTCAATTGATTGATGTATTATAAATTTAATTAAGTAGATAAGAATTAATATGTTATCGAATTTATATATGGAAGTTTATAAATTACTTAAAGATATTTTATATTATTCATTTAAATTCAAGTTTGCTTTTAAGATAAATTATTTATTTTTCATCCTAATATATTTTGACTCAAAGTTTAATATAAATGTCTGAACAATATTTTATATCTATTAAATAAATAAATTTTAATATTATTTCATTGTTAAATAGATTTAAGATTCATTTGATTCAATTAAGAGATTTTGATCACTTTTTTATGAATATTTAAATATTATTAAATTGCTTAATTGCTTTTAAACTTTCCTTTCAGTTTTGAATTTTGTTCAGTTGAATTTGTTTAAACTTTTTTTTCTGAATTATAAATCTATAAATTTTATATTTCCACTTTTATCTAATGATTAATTAATATATATAAAATTCTTCTTATTCTTATTACTTTACAAATACAGAAGTTATCATCTTAATCATGTTATTAATTTGACAATATAGTTTTATATTGCAAATATATCAATTAATTTTATTATAGCAGAAAAGTATTTCACATTGGATATAAATTTTAGCAATTAATTTAGAATTCAAAATTAATATCTGTGGGATTTGCTAAAAAGTTATTGCAATCCTATTCTATTAATTTTAATGAATAAATAATTGGATTTTAATCAAAAATTTCCTCAACATAATCCTTTTAAATTTTTATATTACAATGAAGTTAAGAACGGATTTTATTTGGACAATCCAAATGAACTTTATATTTTTGATGAAGCTGAAGGATGGGCAGATTAAAATGGTTGCTATTANTCAAAGTATTTTAACATCAAATCTAAGAATTAGATAATGATGATTAATTATAAAAATAAAATATTTATTAATTACAAATTTTACTTTTCGATTCATATAAATATAACTAAATCAATTGTTATATCAAATATTCTTATTTGACATAGCTATTAACAAGATCTATTTACAGAAGCATTCTATTTGTATATTATTAAGATTGAAATATTACAATTACTTAAAAATACTTAACTTTAATTTAATAGTTGGTTTTATTGAGAAATTTGATCCAAATCTAAAGATTTTTTATATTTTTAATTCTTCAATTGATTGATGTATTATAAATTTAATTAAGTAGATAAGAATTAATATGTTATCGAATTTATATATGGAAGTTTATAAATTACTTAAAGATATTTTATATTATTCATTTAAATTCAAGTTTGCTTTTAAGATAAATTATTTATTTTTCATCCTAATATATTTTGACTCAAAGTTTAATATAAATGTCTGAACAATATTTTATATCTATTAAATAAATAAATTTTAATATTATTTCATTGTTAAATAGATTTAAGATTCATTTGATTCAATTAAGAGATTTTGATCACTTTTTTATGAATATTTAAATATTATTAAATTGCTTAATTGCTTTTAAACTTTCCTTTCAGTTTTGAATTTTGTTCAGTTGAATTTGTTTAAACTTTTTTTTCTGAATTATAAATCTATAAATTTTATATTTCCACTTTTATCTAATGATTAATTAATATATATAAAATTCTTCTTATTCTTATTACTTTACAAATACAGAAGTTATCATCTTAATCATGTTATTAATTTGACAATATAGTTTTATATTGCAAATATATCAATTAATTTTATTATAGCAGAAAAGTATTTCACATTGGATATAAATTTTAGCAATTAATTTAGAATTCAAAATTAATATCTGTGGGATTTGCTAAAAAGTTATTGCAATCCTATTCTATTAATTTTAATGAATAAATAATTGGATTTTAATCAAAAATTTCCTCAACATAATCCTTTTAAATTTTTATATTACAATGAAGTTAAGAACGGATTTTATTTGGACAATCCAAATGAACTTTATATTTTTGATGAAGCTGAAGGATGGGCAGATTAAAATGGTTGCTATTATTAAAAAGATGGAGCTCCTGCTGGATGGGTTTTTGTAAGCCAAGGAAAATTTACGAGATATGATATAAATCAAAGAAAAGTGGAGACTGGTAAAAACATTTATTATCCTGAAACCATTTTTGATTAAGAAATGTAGAATAGAGGAATAATATAGTAATAGGACTAAAAATCATAAAAAACATCTAATTAAGATTATAAAAATCCTTCATAATATTAGAAATAGAATGATTAATGTTAAAATATTAAAAGTAATTAATCTTCAGCAACATTGAAAGAACATTAGTAAAATTTTTAAAGGTTTGTTTAAGAAAATAATATGTAGTTACATTAAATATACTTTAAAAAAAAAAATTACATAAAAGGATATTAAATGGACTAATAATCAGGAAGATAAAGAGTTAAAAGTGAAGATTATCGCAGAGATTAAAGATATATTTATAATTAAAATATGAATGAATTTAAATCCTATAACAAATTACCTTAAAATAATCATAGTGTATATGGAAAATATCAAAATATTAACTAGAATGGGAGATAAAATCATCATTAAAATTATTCTAATGAGTATTTTAAAAATTCTGATAATAGAATTCGTTCAAATTACTCATCTAAATCTAATTACAATAATAATTATGAATCAAATTCTAGAAATTTTAATAATAATAATCATAGTAATAAAAGAAATTGGAATAAGTCTAATGAAGAAGATAGAAGAGGTTATTAATAATATCAAAATTAAAAATAGTATAATCTAGTTAAGAATCCTTTTATCGATTAACCATTGAAATAATAATATTAACAAAATCAATAGAATAATTATCATGATAGAAGAAATGAACATAATTAAATTGAATACAATATATAATCAGAGAGAATCTAAAAATAAAAATCAAACTATGATTATCAAAAAAATTAAAATAATAATCATTTAGATTATTCTAATTATCAAAATAAGAATTTAAATGTAAATAAAGAAAGTTATAATTATAGATAAAATAATAATAAATATAGTAAATAAAATGAAAACAATAGAATAATTTAATAACTAAATTTATAAAATGGTAACTTTCTTGATTAAAAATAATAATATTAATATGTTTTACGTAAAGATAATTCATACTCTTAATTTGAGTCAAATTAATAACCTATCTTTGAACAGATACGTTATTGTGGATAGAATAGTGAGGTAATTCCAGATTAATAAGGAGCTCCTGAAAGAAGAGAAAGAAAATCAAGATTGAACTAAACATGAGTAATTATATTCTATAATATTTGTTATTTAAGTAGAACATATATTTCTATTTTTAAACTCTATGTTTCTATTAATAATTAGGAAACAGATTAATATATATGATGAGATTTCGATTTAAAACAAAATATAATTTCAAATTTATTTTTTTTTTTCATTGTTTCTACACAATATTATATATTATCAAAATAATGCCCATAAATTTTTAAGCTCTTTCTAAAGAATTTTATTACATTAATTTTTCATGAATTGATGTTAAAATCTTTAAAGTTTTGATTCTTGTACTCATTAATTCTGTATTGTTATTTAATGTTTAACTTACTTATTATTCAATTATATTAATTTATTCAGATAAAAAGTTTAAATTAAAAAAATTGATATCATCTACTGATGATTACAATTTTTCATAATAAATTTTCAACTGAGATGTAATTAATATTTGAGCATCTTCTTTAGATCTAGTTATATTAGATATATCATATTTAATGTTATCTATTTTCTATTCTAATTATGGTTAATGTGCAGGTTCACTAATTTATTTTTTTTATTAAATTTAAATATTTTGTTACTAGAGTTATTAGACAGCCATTTAAACAGTATCCTTTTCTTGTGTTATATTAGATTTTACTTCTTATACTTTGGGTTAACCTGTTCGTTCTTCTTTATTACATTAGACACATAATCTAAGTCCTTATTTACTCTTCATGATTGGTTATAAACATACTATACAAGACTCACCTAGCATAGTCCATCCTTATAAAAGTAATTAACCTATTTTTTTGGATGCTTCATCAGCAGCTGCTTTATTTTAAAAAAATCTCTAATTAAAATCTTCTACCTAATCACCAAAATAGAAATCATCTGAATCATAATCTTTACTATTTTTTTTTTGAATAATCTCTGGTTTTGATTCTGATCCATTTTGATTTGTTTTAATTTTTGTGTCTTAAGAGTCTTAATCTAAAATCACTTAATCTTAAGTAATGATATCACATTTAGGACAATATAAATTTCTGTTTTCAAGAAATATTAATAATGTTGCTTTGCATTCACATACCATAGTAGTTAATTTCCAACCTTCATCAAGTTTTCTATTCATTCTTTAAAACTAACTCATTTTTTATTAATAAATGAATTTATTATAAAAGAATATATTTTATATTTATCATCAAATATCAATAAACTCTTCCTTTAATCAATATCGTAACTTTTATGGAGTTAATTTAGAAATTACAAGATTATTCTATCTAATTACTTTATCCATTTCATTTTTCCAATACTAAAGAATCATAAATTTATAAAAATGATTACCTTTATTTCTTATTATAACTCAATTATTTGTTTACTAAATTATTCTTTTAATTATTTTACTTTTTCATTCTTTTTACACAATTATTTTTCATAATGTTCAATTTTCACAAATAAATTAGAGTTCTCATTTTATAATATTTTAACTTGCTCATTATTTTTATTCGCTTAATTAAGTTTTACTTCCATATCATTCAATTATTCTTGAAAATTCTAAAAAACAATATTTCAATAATAATTTACTCTGTCTCTAGGACTCTAAATATTTCTTGATGTTTTCTTTAATAGTTCAATTTCTTCTTTGTAATTCTATTCTTTTAATGCAAAATCTTTCAATTTTTTATGATAATCAGATATATTAATATTAGATTATTGAATTAATCCTTCGTATTTCTAAATCACTTCCTACTCTTTTATTTTATAATAATCTATTAAATTAACGGTTGAATACCTTCATAATATTTCCTCAACTTTTCTCTTTCTATGTTATTTTCCTATTGATATTAATATAGTTTATTTAGTGCTTCTCTTGCAATATCACCTTGTCTTTTCAATTCTTCTTATAAATTTTTTTCATTGAATTTTAGATCCTTAATTTTACTTTCTTAATTTTCAATTATCTTTTCAAGATCCTCTCTATTTTTAGTAAACTATTACTTATTTTTTATTAAGGTTTCAAAGCTTGATTTTAAATTCAGGACTTATTCTTGATTAACTAGAGATTTAGATTTAACTTTTTTTTTGGAAGTTTTATTAGAATTATTTGTATTATCTTTATTTTTCTTCTTGGAATCATTCGGATTAGTTTTCTATCTAGTAGCCATATATATGTAATAAAAGAAATATAATTAAATAATAATTTATACATATATATATTTTAATTTTCTCTTATTTTCAATTAATAAGTCCTTTTATTTTATAGTCTGTAGAAGAATATGTTGATAAGTTCTATTCAATAATGATAATTTATATTAGAAAAATGAATGATTCATTTAATTGCAGCAGCTTAACTATTTCTGTTAAATTAATTACAAAATCTTTAACTTATAAAAGAACAACTATTTTTTTATACAGAATCCCTAAACACTAATACTCTAAATAAAAGTTATCATAAAAAAGAAAAAATATTTAATTACTAAATAATATTATTATCTAAATTGAAATTATTATTAGAATGTATTATGAAAATTTTTGGTATTATCACTTTTTTGTAATAGTTTGTTTAATTTCAACTTGAATCATTTAAAGATCGCTGAACTTAATTTATCGATATGATTTAATACATTGAAATAGAGGCAAATGATTTTGTTGACTTTGACTTTTAAATTAATAATTAAAAATTATTTGATGATTAATTGTTTTAGATATAATAAATTAGTTAAAATTAATAAACATGAGAAAAATGATTATATTTATGCTGAGATAGAATCATATTAAATTAATTATATAAATATGTGTTTTTTAATAAAAGCAATTTTAATTTTATTACCTTTTGTAAATGGAGCCTAAAAATTAAGACTTTAAGGATCGAAGCCTTTATATATGGATTGCAAAATGATTGATGAAAGTTTTTTAAATTTATTATATTTTAGGAGATAATGGCTTTGTAGGAAGTTAATATTTTTATAAATACCTATCATAATCTGGAAATCTGTTAAATCTTGATCAGATTACCTTTAGCTTTTGGATGTTAGTCTATTCAAAAATGAAATTGAATGGAAAGTAAATTTTATTTGGTTTTGTCGATGGTTACACAAATAATCCTGTAAAGTATTAAAATAATATTAGTATCTTAATTTAATGTTGTATTACTAAATAGAATCAGGAGATTATTACATGTATGTAGTAAATCAAAGATTTTCTCCAGAGATCATTAAATTGAAATTAAAATAGTAAACATTTAGTTTATTTTAGAGAGAACGATCTTTATATTGGTAGTTGGAATCATATACTATTATCTATAGATTAGAGCACAAGTAATACGTTTATTAATTTGAAATTTTTTTCTACATTCAATTATTAATTGAATTAGATTCAAGAGACATTAGTGAATTAAAAGTATATAATATTGTATATCATTAGATTAAATTATAAATTTGGGGTTCATTCAAGAATAACAAATGAATAATTATATAACGCACCATTTGATTACAAAGCATGTGTAAATATTGCTAATTTTGATTATATCAATGGATGGACAACAATGGATTCAGAAATATATATTGATTATGATTTAGAACTCAAATACTTTTTAAAACCATATAAAGCAAATGGTCTCAATGTTAATGATCTATTTATGAATGTAATTATGAGATCATATACTAATCCAATAATATATAGTGATACAATTGGGTTGATTTTGTATAAAAATACATAGATAGTCTACAATTTTATGGAATAACTAAGTTCATTTACAATGATGTTTTGGATTAAACCATAAAATATAATATCAACTTTTTAATTTCTTTCTTTAACTGATGATGCATTATAAAAGACAAGTGTAGGTTTTGGAATAAGTAAAGAATATTATTTATTATTTCATTAAAATTATGATAAGACTTAATTAGGTAATCTAGCTGATAATGTTTGGGCTCATGTGACAGCTGGTTTTTTAGAATTAAGTTTAAATTATGATTTTTATCCAACAAATTAAAAGAAATTATTAAGAGTTTTTATTGATGACGTTTAGGTTACATTGAAAACTTTAACAAACGTAATAGTATATAGAAGATTAGTATTGGGACCAATATTTAATGATGATTTTGGAAGTGAAATGATTGATATTTAAGATATTAGAATTTTTAAAGGTTATGGCATTTTAAAAAGTCAAGGAGATTGTAAATTATTTGTTGGTGCTTATTGTGCATTTTGTAAAGCTGGTACTCATTATTGCAAAGAGTAAGACCCTACTGATAATATAAATATTTATAAATGTCCAGCTGGATATAAAGAATCAGGCACTAGTTGTGCACTTATATCAATATCAAATTGTCTTAGGTAATCAGGATCATTATGTACAGTATGTGCAGATAATTATTTATTAAAAAATGGATAATGTGTAATGATAACTGCTTTAGTCTCCCCATTTAGTTGTTAAGATGATTTTGCAATATTTTGTTAAAGAAGGAATTTATTAATAATGAATAGCAAGAGTATTGATGACATAAGTAAATTATGTATAGATAGTTATAATTAATACAATCCAGTAACCTACAAATGTGAATAAATCTCATCATAAATTTGTTTATAAGCTCAATACTTAAAATCTTGCTATGTTTGCAATTATGGATATTATTTAACTGAATTAAATACTTGTCAAAAGACTTGTACAGCAAACTACAAATTTTAATTAAATGGAGTTTGTTTAAAGGATTGCCCAGGAAGATATTAATACTAATATAATTGTTATATTGGAAAATCATAACCTACATTCACTTGTAATACATCTTAAAAATGCAATCGTAATGAAGTTAACATAAATTATTATTGTTTAAGATCTATTGAATAAACTGGGAAGGTCGTTTCTTGTATTCAATATGGTTCAATTTATAAGTAAGTATATTTCGATTGTGATCCACTTTGTAAATATTGTTATGGAACAGAGTCTTATTAATGTTTGGGTTGTTATGCAAATATGTTTTTTAGTCCATATTATACAACTTGTGTAGATGATTGTTCTACTTAAGCTAAATTTAAATATAATAATAGAGATTGGATGGTTTGTGAATTAGAATGTCCATCAGAATATTTAACATAAGAATATGAATGTGTGACTACATGTGGTGTTGGTTATGCTAAATATAATACAATATGTCTAATAGATACTAATATTACTGATAATTACTTAAAAATTTCTCCAATTCCTATGTTTGTTGATTGTCCAGAAATATGTTAGACATGCACAAGTGATACATATTGTACTAGTTGTCTTAATAATTATCCTTTAAATTAAAATAAATGTGTTACATCATGTTATCCATAATATCTCTATGTAAATGAAGATAATGTAAATTAATGCTTAGTTAATTGTGATCCAACTGATTTAGTCTATTAAAATAATAATATTGATGGATATTCTATTAGACAATGCTTCAAAATTAAATGCGGCTATATCAAAACGAATAAGATGTATTAAACTTACTAACATTAAACAAATCCTCTTATTTGTATGTATCCATGTGATAGTGGATATTATGCTTAAATAACAACTTATTAATGTACAAAATGTAGCACCAATTGTGCCACTTGTTATAATACAGCCACTACTTGTACATCTTGTTATCCTACTACTTTTCTATAAGATTATGATTGTTTCAAAACATGTAAATCTAAATTTAAGAATTATATTAATTGGTAATGTGAAGGCTCATGTTCTATAGGTTTTACAATAGATGACAAAATTCAAAGCATTTAAGCTTGTGTCAATAAATGTGGACAAGTATTTGGAACCTTTATATATTCTCTCAATAATCGATGCTATGAAACTGCACCAATAATTGGAGCATATTGTATAAACTTAGATTGTTTCAATTGTTATTATAATTGTAAGACATGTTCAGGTCCCAATAATACTTAATGTTTAACTTGTTATGATAAAACATTTTTCTTATCTAATTAATGTGTTATAGATTGTGGAACTAAATTTTATGATTTATTAAATTGGAAATGTGTCAATACTTGTCCAATCAATTTATATACTACATCTGGCTATTAAATTATTAATACAATTAATAAACTAGTCACATCCTGTTCTTCTACTTGCTTATATAATTAATTTTAATATAAAGATTTATGTTCAGATTTATAACCAATTGGAACATATTGTATTTAAAAGACTAATTACAAATTATGTGATAATTGTGCTTCAGTCTGTAAAACATGTTTTGATTCCTATTCAACTACTTGTAGTGAATGCAATCCAGGATCTTATTTATATAATACTACTTGTTCTTCAGAATGCCCTAATGATAGTCCCTATAAAGATACTATTAATAATACTTGTGTTGTTATTTGTACCAGTTATCAAGAAGATGGATATTGTGTTGCTGCCTGTTCAGCTAATTATTACACTTATGAAGCTGAGAAATAATGTTATGAATCTGGTTGTCCAGAAGGAACTTATAACTAAATTAATACATATAATTGCTATGCTTGTGCTCTTGGATGTGCTACTTGTATTGATGGAGCATCAAATTAATGCATAACTTGCCTACCAGATTATTTTTTACTAGGTACATCAACATGTACTAGTATCTGTAATGTGAGTCCAGATCTTATTTAAGATTGGGTTAATGGGAAATGTGTCAAATAATGTCCTTCTGGATCTTTCTTACAAACCTTACAAAATGGATATCTAGCATGTAAAGATACTTGTCCTGTTTATTATTATTCTAATATTTGTGTTGCAATATGTCCTACTTAAACTTATCTCGATGGAACTATTTGTAATCCATGTGCAGGACCTTGTTCTGAATGTTATGGAGTAGATGTTAATTAATGTACAAAATGTGACTCTGGATATTACTTAGCTGATACTACTTGTGTTGATACATGTCCATCTACAAAACCTTATGCAAATTTAGCTAATTAAGCATGTGTCTTATCTTGTCCAGATTATTTGTATTTAGCTAAAAAAGTCTGTTTTAGTCCATGTCCAGGTTTCTTAGCTTATTATGAATTAGATGGTAAAAAGGAATGTGTTGATTAATGTTATTCTAAATCTTATTTATCTTCAGGACGATGTTATTCTTGTAATTCTATTTGTAAAGAATGCTATGGACCAATAAATGGAAATTGCTTATAATGTGAATCCCCTTACTTTTTATATCAGTAAAAATGTTAAAATACTTGTCCATTTTACACTGACTATACAGATAGAGTTTGCAAAGAATCTTGCCCATCTAATACAGTTATCTAAGGTATGAAATGTCAAACCTCATGTGATACAGGATATGTATTGTATAATTAATTTTGTGTTACAACTTGTCCAACATTTACTTATAAAGTAGGAAATAATTGTTATGTTTGTAATTCTCTTTGTAGAACTTGTTTTGGACCATCAGTAAATGAGTGTTACTCATGCTTAGAAAACTATTTAATAAATGGTAATACATGTACATTAACTTGTCCGATCCTTTACGATTACTAGATTAGTAAATGTTTAAGCACTTGTGGTACTAAATTAGAAGTAATTGATACTAAAAGTTGTGTTACAAGTTGTCCAACAGGATATTTAAAATGTAATCAAAAGTGTTTGAAAGTATTACCTGATGGATATTATTCAGATGGAGTATAATGTTAAAAATGTAATACTAAATGTGCTTAATGTACATCACCAACTGTATGTTAATCATGCAATCTAAACTTCTATCTACATTTGTAAACTTGCAATAGTTTTTGTACTAATAAATATCTTTATATGGATCCAATATCTAGATCTTGTGTTTCAAAATGTCCACCTATACTTTACCATTAAGTATCTTTTGATAAAAGGTTTTGTGTTACTGATTGTCCTTTAAAACTTAATGATTAATGTATTGATTCTTGCCCAGTAGGAATGTATAATAAGGATAGTTTTTGTACAAGTTGTCCTTAGAAATGCTAAGAATGTACTTCAGCAACAAATTGTACTATATGCATAAATGATTATTTTTTGGAAAATGGATTATGTTATTTAAGTTGTATAGTAGGTAAAACAGATTATAAAAATCATATATGTGTTTAAGAATGTGATTCATCATTGTTTGAATATCAAAATGAATGTTTAGAAATATGTCCTACAAATCCAGTATTTTATTATCATTCTAATATATGTATGGATGCATGTCCAATTAGTACATTTTAGAATAATTAACAATGTATAGATTGTGATATATCATGTTTAACTTGTATTGGCCCATAAAATACTGATTGTCTGGTTTGCAAAGAGACTTACTATTTAAATGATTAATAGTGTGTTCTAACATGTCCTAACTTATATAATGAAGTAGATAAAACATGTATTATTTCATGTCCTCCAAATCTTCTTTTAGATTAAAATAAATGTGTTTTGATTTGTAGTAAGTACATGTACTCAAATACTTGTTTATCAAATTGCCCATCAAAAACATATGATTCAAATTTCACATGCTATGATTGTTCTTAAAATTGTCTTGAATGCAATTCTTATGGTTGTCTGAAATGTGAAAATGGATCATTTTTAGAGGATGGAAGTTGTGGTAACTTTTGCCCATATTATTACAATACTATTCTAAATTAATGTGAATAATAATGTCCAGAAGGTGCTTTTCTTTATATTGATCAATGCTATGCTGCTTGTCCAACCAATACATATCAATATCAAAAATCTTGTCTTTTGGAATGTCCTTAGAAAACAATTTAAATAAATTCTATTTGTTATTAATGTCCAGAGAGATGTTCAATTTGTAAAAATGAATATGAATGTATAAATTGTGAATCACCATATTACTAATATAAAGGAGCATGTGTAGTAGCATGTCCAACAGTACTACCTTATTAGAATAAAATAAATAATGTTTGTTAGTCAGAATGTCCTCCAGATACTTATGAAAAAGAATATGAATGTCTTAAAGAATGTGATTTAATTATCTATTAAAATAAATGTTTAAAGCATTGTCCTTATGGATATTATGGGAATTCTATATGTAAACCATGTAAATTAGAATGCAAAGCTTGTAATGATTTTAATATCTGTACTGAATGTTCAGATAACTTTTATCTTGAATAAAATTAATGTGATACATAATGTACAAAAATAAAAGATATGAAATCCAAGAAATGTGTAGATTCATGTCCTTTATTTTTGTATTAAAATGTTTGTTATGAAATTTGTCCTATAAACACTTATTAATTTGTAAATAATTGTCTTCAAAAGTGTTTAGATGGATATTTTGGTTCAACAGAATTTAAATGTGAAAAATGTCCATCATAATGTATTACATGTTCAAACTTTAATTAATGTAATAGCTGTAAAATTGGATATTATATGTATTAAAAATAATGTTTAGATGAATGTCCAGACAAATTATTTTCAAATCCATTAACTAGTTAATGTACATCATAATGTCCAAATAAAACATTCATATTTAAAAATTAATGTTTATATGAATGTCCAAATGATTATTTGAATGACACAGAAAATTATTAATGTTTATTAATTTGTAATGAATAACAATATTAAAATAAAAATAGTTGTTATCCTTGTTCATTTGAATGTGATAAATGTACTGCCTATGGAAATTAAAATTGTATAACATGTGCTACAAATTATATTTTAACTGAAGATGGATATTGTTTTGGAAAATGCAAAGCTGGTTATTATTAAACTTCAAATTCTTGTGAAAAATGTTAACATAAATGTTTAACTTGTGAAAATGATACTGAATGTTTATAATGCAGAGGAAATAATAGAAATCCATTTGATTGTTCATGCCCAAAAGGATTTTATGATGATCCATTTTATGATAATTGTTAATAATGTCCATGTGAAGAATGTATTTCTTAATCTGAATGTCTCGTATGTAAAAATAATCTCTAAGTTCCAAATTGTTCATGTAACAGAAGACTTAATGAAGATTGGTGTATTACTTGTCAAATAGGATCAGTCAACATATAATATTCAGATGATCTAAATTCAATCATTGTTTATTTTGGATATTTAATATCTGTTAATTTAATTAATCCTTTTTAACCTTCAAGTTGTTCTTTTTGGTTTAATTATGCAGAAATCTTTGGAGAAAATGCTTAATGCTATTTATCATGGGATAGATATTCAGTACATATCTTATTAGAACCATATGCTTCTGTTAATATTGGAGATGAATTGAGTTTCAAACAATCCTTTTATAGAGATGTAAATCAAGGTCTATGTGATGGATAATTTATTGAAATATTTATTGATAACACTGTAAAAGGACCATCTGTTTAAACTAAACCTTATGTTCTTTTTGATATACCTTCTGTTGTAAGTACTTGTAAGACTATTACTATTAAACAAATTTTATTAGATGGAACAGCAAAAAAGATTCAAGAAGTCTTATCTTGGACTCTTCATGAAATGGATAATGATGATTATTATTTATAAATGGATGCATTCTTAGCTGATTAATTAAATGAGTTCACTATTCCTATTGGTACTCTAGCTTCTAATGTTACATATACTATAACAGTCAAATATATCAATTTAATAAATAGAGTCAATTTCACAACATTCTCATTTACTACACTGCCAGAAAGAGTTCCTTATGTCTTTCTATAATATAATCCATTAGTGGCTAGAGTTTATGTTTTTGATTGTCAACTCACATATTCTGATATGAAAAATGAATTTACTTTATCTATTGAAATTTCTGATGCCAATAATAAAACTTACATTTCCTTATAACAACACATTAATCCAATTTATGAAATCCCATTAAATGAATCTCTATTACCTAAAGAAACCCCTTTACTTTTTATGGCATCAAGTGGAAGTTCTGTAGTTCATGAACAAATTTATCTAAAATCAAAAAGAATTGATATTGAATTTCTTTAATAAAATAGATTTATTGGATTAGATAATTAAATTAATGCAAGAGCCTTTGATCGAAATATATAAGATGAAGTATTAAGTACTTTAAATATTGAATATTAATGGTAATGTAATAATTTATTCAATTTATAACCATGTAAAACAGAAGAAAATAAAATTATGCAATTTCCATCTAGAAGAATTGCTGATATTTATGCAGATAGTTAAAATACTACTTTTGTTTTCTTTGTTAAAGCATCAAAAGACAATAGATGGACTGTTAAAGAATAATTGATAGTAGTTACAGATTTTGAAATAGAAGAGGAATTTGTTTTAAATTAAGAAATCCCAAAAAATTATGTTAATCTTAATGATGAAATAACAGTTATGATAAGAAATAATTAAAAATATGCTTTCATTATGCAAGAATTCAAAATTCTATCATCTATCAAAATTAGAAGCCAAACTTTAAAGTTTAGACTTGCAGGATTAACAAATAATTTTAATAGTCCTGTGTACATTTATCTAGTACCAGGCAATGAATCTATTGCATTTCTATTAAACAAACCTCCTTTAGAAGTTAAATTTAATGTAGAACCTCTAATAGGAGAATCTTTAGATTACTTTAATTATTCAATTCAAAACTTATAACCTGGAGATAAGTTTAGTATTTATTATTATTTTGAAAATTTGGTTCTCTAAAATGATATAAATCTATAATCAATTAATAATGGTTTACCTTTGGTGATTAATTCTTAAGAGTTAACAGGTTCCTTTTAACTACCAAATGGAATTATTGATAATTCAATATCCGTTCTGTGTTAAATTGAATCAGATTAGGGTTCAAAGACTTATATCCAATAAGATATCAAAGTTAATAGAAAAAATTATCAAATTAATAAATTATATGAATCCTTTAATAATAAAACTAATTTCTCAGATTTATAAAGTATACATACTATGACTAAATTAATTGAAATTGAATAGTAATAGGTTTGCTTGAAATAATGTTCAGGTGTTGGTACATGTGTTGATGATAAATGTATGTGTCCTCCAGGATATTATTTTGATGATTGTAGTGGAAATCTAGAATAATATAACAATTATAATAATCTTATTATAAATGTTATGCAATCATTAATTAAAAATCCAATTAAAAATAATGATGAATTTAGATTATTTAGTTAATCTTTATTGTTTGTATCAACTTTAAAAGATTTAAATAATACATATACAAATTTAGATTGCTAATACATATTAGAATAATACATTTTTAATCTCAATTCAAGATTAGAGAAAATCAACTAACACTCAATTAATCTTTAATATTAATCAACTGCTAATCTAAATTACTCTTAAATAGATATTAGATCATTAGAAAATAAGAATGATTTACATACAGCCTTAAAGAGTACTGTATTTATGTGGGCTAAAACTTTATTTACTTAAGATGCTGGTATATATTAATTATAGAGTCGCTTAAATAATTTCCTTTCAGCTACAATAGAATTGTCTCTATTTGGAATTGAACCTGATGAAGTTATAGATTATTCTATTGATACTGCTTATCTAAAAATCTAAAGAATTAACAATATGTCAAATATAACAAAGGGAAGACTCTTAGTTGAATCAAGTGAAAATAATAATAGCGAAACAGAATATTATGATATTGTTTAAGCAATATATATTCGTAATTATTTCGCTTTTGATGGTTATTTTCCATATCCCTTATAATTGTATCCACTTTATGATTACTAAATACGTTAGTAAAATAGAAAATAAAATATTTAATTAAAAACATATATCTCATATAAGTTTAAAATACAAAATGATACATCAAATCTTGTTTGTTTAATGAGAAATTCTCATACATATGAATGGTCAAATGAAAATTGTTCAATCCATTTAATTAATTCAACACATTATTGTAATTGTACAACACTTGCTCCAACTACTATATGCAATGATTATGATTTCCTTTTTTAAGGTTCTCCTTAATTCAAATTGGATATTCCAAATATGTTATATATCATTTACTTTGTTTAATTAATCATATTAGGAATATTTTATATATAGGCAAGGTATTCTGTACATGAGAAATCTATTGATAATAATAAATTTGGTTAAATATTAAAATTAGCAAGAAAAGATAAAGTAGCAGTTTTTGGAAACCAAATTGTTCCAATAGATGATGAAAAAAATAATGTTTAAAATGAATCCTAATAACCTTAACAAATAGACCAAAAGACTAGAAATGACAAATTTAGTTTTAATAATTTTTGGGTACTTAATCATAATTTATAATAGAAATATCATTTTTTAACATCAATGAAATACAATAAAATTTGTTACTTTAGCTCATTTCTTCGTTCTATTTTGATAATCTTAAAATGGAATTAAGCTATTATTATTGGTGAAGTATTAAGTCTTTTTGGATTCACATATTATGTCTCTATGTGGATTATTTTATCATCAATTATTTTTAGTAGAATTTTTGAATACTTTTTAAAAGTAATTTAATTTATTTTAAGTAGACTTAAGCCAAATATTTTTTTTATATGAAATAAGAATTCATTCTTTCAATTATCAAACTATTTCTATTCCTAATAATGATATGCACATTTTTATTTGGAATATATGTATACTTTATGATTGAAAATTAAACAAATTTGGTATTCAATTTTATTTTATAATTAGATTATTTCATATTCTTTTGCTATCTTAATAGATTTATTATTTTTAGATATCATCTTATTTAGTGCCAATAAATTTTTTGGATAAGATAAGAAAAAATTAATTAGAAAAAAACTTAAAGAATTTTAATCTATAGCAAAAGCATAAAACTTCAATAAATTATGATATTTTCATTAAAAATAATATTTTTATATATATATATATTTAATAGATTAATCTTGAATAATAATTAAAAATTGTTTTTATTTTGATAAAAGTTATATATTAATGTTATAAATTCAAACAAATTATCAAATAATATTTTGATAAAATGTGCTTTTCCTCTCTATAACTAATAAAATATATTAGAATACTTTGTAAATTACATAAAGTATTAAAAATGGAGAGATCTTAAAAAATTCATAATATCTTCACATAATCAATATCTGTTCAATAATTGTTGTAAACTATACAATACAAAGTTTTTGGCATAAACAACTTAATCTGAAATTTCTAACTTTTAAATAGTTTCCAAAAATCAATCATTCTCTTCTAGTCAAAGTTAATTATGAATTTAAATTCCCAAAAGTAAACTTATCAATTTATTTTTAGTTGGAATACATGTTGCCATTTAATATACAAACACCATTTACTATAATCCATAAGATTAATATTGATAATCTTTATTTAGTTACAAGATTTCTTACCGAAAGCATAAATATATCCTTTAGTATTTGAAAATTATATAAATTAATCTCAACATTACATATGAGATACTTTATTTATCGTTTAGATAAATATTTATTTGTAAAGTTTATATTATTTATAACAGCAAATCCAAAGTTATTTTCTATTTGTTTTAATGAGGACAAACTCAAAGGCAATTTTATAAAATATTTTATATAACTTGCAATTAATTCTTCATTTCTTCTAATGTAATAACTTGGAAAACTTTAGATTTCATTCTAAACTCTTACTTTATATGTAAGCTCAATAAATATTGGAAAGTTCAACAGTATTGATAGTATTATTTTTAGTTAACCTTAGCTGTAAATTTGATTAAACAATTTAAAATATATATAAATTTATTTCAAATATTTATAATATCTATACAAAATATAAAGTAAAATGTTTAAACATATATTTGATATACAATTTTTATATATGGCATATCAACTTTTCAATAATAATTGTAAAACAAAAACAAAAATCTTTAGTTATCTTTATATTATTAATTACTTGAATGTTTTAGTATATATATCGATCAATATAAAAAGTTAGCCTTAATATTTAATACTTATAATTAAACAATGAAAAATACTCATAAAAGGAAAGGTTATCAACTTGACAAGAGAATTAATAAATCTGCTTACCTTGATTTTAAAAAATAGATGCTTCCATAAAAATTTGAAATTCCACATGAAAGAGAAAAGCCTTTGGAAGTACGTTCCCTTCTTGCTAATTTGGATTAGGAAAACTAAAAAAATAGTATTTTTGTAAGTCTTTAATCTATACTTGTTAGAATGTGACATAATCACCATAATTGAAAAAATATCTAATCTAATCATATGTATCAGAATTCCCCTTATTATCTTCTTTAAATAAGATAGAATTGTTTCTAAATAGATAATAAAATAAATTAAAAGAACAATCCAAAAGTGAAGAAATAAAATCTTAGAAAAATCATAGCTAAAGCACTGAAGTGTACTCTGCTAATAAGGTAGCTTGATAATATTTATATTGATAATTATTATAATAATCTTAATATATCTTATGAACTAATTAAATATACAATAATTAGGTTTAAGAATCTTAGCTCCTTATTTCTTTTTCATTTTGGAATTTTTTCAACTAAATTTTTCGTTTTTCTGGATCTAATTAAACCAATACTTTTACTGGCAATCAAAATTTTAGTCTATTGATACCTAAAACCTTAAACCAAAATCATATCATGATTTAAATTATTCTATTTCATCATCTAAAAAACCTTTAAACTAATTTTTTTAATCTTAATTCTATTTCTATTCAACATAAATATCATTCACATCATTTTTTAAAACTAAATAAAAGACTTAACTCCTTCATATTATTAATCAAGTTCATTTAGAATTAAATTTATTTTTTTAACTTAAAAATATAAATTTTATTTTTATATTTAATATTTAATCATATAACTATATGGCTGAATTATACCTAATATATTTTAAAGATGTTATTTTTAAACAAATACTGAATATCATCAAAATTTATTAAAACACCATCCATCACCATAAAAATTATCTATTTTTTTAATTTGTTAAATTTTTTTATCAATATTAAAGTATTAGAGAATATAATTTAGAAATATAATATACATGATATTATTTTATCGTAGAATACATATAAATTTAATAATCAATTATTAAAATAAAATTGTTATGGATGATCTTTATTAAACAGAAATTAGAAAGAGATATAATTCTTCAATGACATATTAGTAATATTTAGATACTCATGATTAACCACCTCCTACACCTACATTAAAGTATAATTTATATTTTCATTAGGGCTAAATAATCACCTTAAATAGTTGAACCTCTTACCCTTGAACCTCATAAAGGACCAAAAATTCATTAGCAAAAATTAGCAATTTATACACCTGATGATGTAATATTTGAAGAATCAGAAACTGATGAAAAGCAACGATCAAATTAAATTCCAAAAATCCCATGTTAAAAAGCCTTAATTGAACATGTATTATAATAATATAGTTATAGAATATAAGAATACGTAGTCAAAGCGAAAATTTAGGTTTTTCTGTATTTAGATTCCTGTAATAAAAGAAAAAAGTATGATTAATTATAAAATTTTTTTTCATGTTTTCACTTCCAATAATTATTATTTAAAAATAATTTTGGTAAATGGTTTGATCAATCTAATAAATTAATGCTGATACATCTATAAAATGTGAAATGAATTTAATTTATAAAAAGAAATTTTTATATCAAATTGATATCCATTTTAAATTAGAATTTGAAAACTATTATAAAAGCTTCCATGAAATTCTTTCATAATTTGATAAAAAAATATTAATATTTAATAATAATTAATAAGATAATTCTATTCATTTAATATTTAATCAATAAAATTATTCTTAATTATTAAGTAGTAAATTTCATTTGAATAAATTTGAATCCTTTTAATTCTTAGTCCTTTATAGTAAAATATTTATAAAATTATAATTATTGTTATATAATTCAATTTTAAGACTTTTAAAGTTAAATTAAATTGCACTATTAATTTAATTTTTCTCAATTTTATATACTAAAAGAGTTATATAAAAATCAATTATGATTTATATATATTCTATAAAATATAAAAGTAATTTTACAAGATTTAATAATTAAGAATATACTAATAGCAATATATATTTTACACATCATAAATCATCAGAAACCTATTTTTTACCTTATTTATCTATAAATTCACTAAGTGCCTCTAATGTTAATGGTCCTTCAAATGTTACAACTTATCTTGTTTAAGCATTGTACCATCTAATCATTGGAACTTCTTTTATGAATTAATCTTTCACCTTAAATTATTAATTTTTAATATACTTCATTTTCATATGCATCAAACATACCAAATGCTTTTTATCCTCTATATTTTTAAAATAATTGCTCAAAAATAGGAGTAAATTATTAACACACTTTACACCAACTAGAATAAAAATATATGAAAATGTTTTCATGCTTAGGCAAATCTTCTCCTACAATAGTCAATATTTATTTTTCCCAATTCTCATTTTTAACTGGTGTTTAACTTTTGTAATATGGTTCCAATTTATTATTTAGAAAATTATTTAAGAATTTTCTAAGATCACTTAAATCTGAAAATTATGTTCTATATTTCTTTTAAGAATGATTTTAATCATAAATAACTGCCAAAGGACGTTAAATACCTTTAATTCCTAAAAAATTTAATAGTCTATCTGTCACTTAATCTAACTTAACTAATATTGTATTAATTCTAAAAATTAATATTATTATTATTACTCCTTTTAATGTGTTTTAGCTAAATCTCTATAATCTTTTTCATCAAAAATGAATAATACTGGCTTTTTAGGTTCATAGAAAGCAGTTTCAATAGCATCTTATGTAAATTCTTAATAATATTTTTCTTCATGATCCTCAACAAATTTAAATACTTTTTCATAAGTTATTTCTCCATCATAATCATATCTATTAATACCCTTCTCTGTAAACATAACAAGTGTAGTTTCTTCTCCAACATTTAGTAATGATCTAGCATTTGGTAAAGTAGTATAAGTAAAATGAATATGATGTTTTAATGTTTTGAGCCATTTCAATTCTTACTTAAATGAATTATTGAAAACTAAAACACTAATATTATGAGATTCATGAATCCATCTTATAGTTGGTTCTGAATCAGATTCAGATATATATGATAATGCTCTTAAATCTGCCCATTATTCTAATTTTTTCTATTCCCATTCACCTTAATGTTCAGTGTAAAGACCTTATACATATAATCTGAGCACAGGATATCTATTAAGTTCATAATTTTTAATTCTAGCTACAGGAATACCAATGCTTCCTGGAGTGCCAACATTAATCATTTCAGATGCTTTTTCTAATTCTTCTTCCAATCTTTAGCAATGATTACAATCATCACGAGTGAAAAAGATCAATGTGTAGTTTTATTTTTGGACCCATTTCTCTAAATTTGTAATGTTAGTCATTTTGCAAGAAGCTAGAACAACTATTAGAATAAAATACACGTAATGCATTAATTTTATTAATGGGAAACTAAAGCGAAAAAAAAATAGCTTAATTTAAATAAAAAGTCATAGGTTATTACTTTTACCCAACAACAGTAATTTGCATATTATTTCTGCTTGCCAATTTATATTATGGTTATGCTTTAACATTTTGGGGTGCTATAGTAATATCTATAATTACTTTAATACAATACTTTTGCTATAATTAGATAAGTAAGTCATTAGATTTGGGTTTGAATGCAGATTCCTATTCTATTTATTTAGATATTTTAGCTTTAAATGGAGCCATTTAAGTAATATATTATATCTACTTTAGCTTGGTAGCATAATATTTGACTTTTTCTGGTATGGTTATTGGATTATCCCATTAATATTGTTGTATAAAGGTTCCCTAATTATATGGGGTTGGTTATAAAAACCTTAATATGCTGAGGAGGATAAAAAAGATAAAAAGAAAAAAGAAAATAAACCAAAAGTCAAATATATTAAATGAATATTAATAAATATAAATATATTAATCATTCTATTTCCACTACAGATTCTGCTATTATACTTTGTTGCATTCGTTATTTATTTGGATAAAATATCAACAAAAGTATTGAAGTAGGAACATAATCACTCAAAAGATATAATATAAATGATATCAATGACCTTTTCCTTTATCAAAAATACATACCACAATGTAGTGTCTTAAGTATTTTCACTATTAAACCCATACTTAAACTAAATCAAAAACGTTGCATACCAAATTCTTAATTATGAAAATAGTAATCTTAATGCTTGTCCTATTATTAAAAAAATTATCGAGTAATCAAGCTAAATTGATTATGTAGTACTTTACGTATTTTTTAAAATTTTCATTTATAGTATTTATATCTTTAACATGTCTCCTAAATAATAGACAACCTAATACAAATGTTAACAAAGAGAAGAATGAGTAAATGAAATAGAGAATTGAGTAACTAATTATCATATATATTATACATTCTGTCTATTTATTAATCCCATGTTTTATCATGATAAAATTCAGCTACAAATAAAAATATTTGGCATGCAAACCAAAAACTAAAAAAGAATAAATTAATAATCATTTCTAAACTAGAAATACCTTGAAAATAATGGAAAAATTTTTGCATTATTGAAATCCTTTAATAAATAAATTCTTTAACCATTTTGCTCCTATTACTCCTAAAACAAGATCATAAAAAATGAAACTTGAAGATTATAAAGTTCTAAATACAGATGGCTGAAATAGTTTTTAATCAGGTTCCTTTAAAAAACATCCAAAAACAGCATAAGAATAAGCTTGTATCCTTACTTTTCAATAAGTACATTATTACTTAAACTTAGAATGAACATTAAAGTATTTATTTTTAAAAGAGTAGGATCCATCATTTTCATATAGAATCTAATTAGTTTATGGAAATTTGAGGCTTGCCATAAAATCATAATTGTATTCATCATCAAAATTATAATCGCAAAAGCCTTTTCTAAATCATTTGTTATAAAATCACTCAAGTTCTATTTATATGTCTCGTTAATCATAATATAATTAGAAATTATTTCTAAACCCCTTTTAATTTAAAAATATGATAATTTTTATCAATTTCGTTAATATCAAGATAAGAAATTCATAATAAAGAAACTATTATTCAGCAATCATCCATATATTCAAATAAAGGTTTTAAAATAAAAATTATTTATTTTTAGACAGATTTTACAAACCTCTTTAATTATAGATTAAAATTATAAATAAAGTAGATAACTCAATTTAATTTTAAACTATATAATATGTATAGATTTTAATAAATATTTCTTCAAAAAATATTATTTTCTTTATCTATTTTTATTTAATATTTTTAAATAAAAATGAATAGCCTAAAAAGTTATAAAATATATTATTTTAAACCGATTAGATTATAAATTTTACTTGAACAAATAAAATACTATTACTTAAGAATAATTGAATAAAAAAATAGAATTAGGTATACATATATTTTAGTCTAATAGTATGAAATACGATAATTTTATTTTAATAAATAAATTAAAAATACTATTTACTAAATGTCTAGAGAATAGTCTGCTTAAGAGAACTAGATATAACTAGTATTAATATAATAAATTTTAATTCTTTTATTTAATTTGGACTTCTTTGAGTATTTCAATTCATCATTTAATATATTAGTATAAATTTTTTAAGGAATTGATATTAGTTTATAATAAAATGAATTTTCTTATAAAAATATCAATTATAGATAATATAATTAAATGATTTATTCATTTTATGCAATCCTGATATTTCTCAGTTATGTTAATTCATAAACTAAGTTAAATTTACAAGGAGCATTACCATTGCATATGGATTGTAATAATATTGCTGAATGTAATTGTTTAAAGTCTTATTCAATAGTTGAAAATGGATTCATAGGATTGTAGTACTTTTACAATTATCTTTCTCAATCAGGATAACTAAATAATTTAGATCAATTGACCTTTAGCATTTGGATCATGGTTCATTCCAATATGAAATTAGATGGAAGATAAATAATTTTTGCTTTCGTTGATGGTTACACATAAAATCCAGTAGGAATTTTTTTCTATTTAGTATCTTAACTTGATGCTATACTATTAAATAGAATCAGGAGATTATTATATGTATTTGGTAAATTCTAAATTTGTGCCAGAAATTTTAAAGTTAAAAATTGATTAGTAAATATACATTCTTATTGTTAGAGTAAATGATCTTTACAAAGGCTATTGGAATCATATATTAATTTCTATTGATTAAAGGACTGATAATACGTTTTTAAATGTTAAATTTTTTTCAACCTATAATTACTAACTTTCTTAAAAATTAGAAACACTAGTTTCATAGAAGTATATTTTTTATGATTTTAAAGATTAATTTATCAATTTGGATCACATTCAAGAATAACAAATGAGTAGCTTTATGATATGACTTCTGATTATAAGGCCTGCATTGATGTTGCTAATTTTGATTTTATAAATGGATGGACTACAATGGATTCTGAAATTTATGTTGATTATGATGTACAACTAAAATTTCTATTAAAACCATTTCAAATTAAAACAATTAATGTAGAAAATTAATTTTAAGATATAAAATTAAGAGTAAGTCCTAATCAAGCTTCATTTAGTGGAACAATTGGTTTATATCTATATAGAGACAAGTAGATAGTCTATAGCTTTGAAGAATAGATGAGTTCATTCACTGTAATGTTTTGGGTTAAACAAAACAATATAAATAAAGCTTTTTAATTCTTATCCTTTACAGATGATTTAGTCTAGGAGACTAGCATAGGTTTTGGTATTAATAAATAATCCAAACTTGTATTTTATCAATCTTATACTATATAAAATTAATTAGGCACTTTATCATCATTTAATTGGAATCATGTGACAATAGGATTATTAGATATAAGCATAAGTGAAGATTTTATTCCTAAAAATTTGAAGAAAATAATGAGAACCTTTATAGATTCAACTTAATCTTCTTTAATTATAGTTTAAAATTTAAAACCTTATAAGAGACTAGTAATAGGACCTGTTTTTAAAGATTCTCGTGGAACCGATATTTTAGATATTTAAGATATTAAAATTTTTAAAGGTTATGGTATTATAGAATCATCTGGTGATTGTTAAATTTTTGTTGGACCTTATTGTGCTTTTTGTACATTAGGAACTCATTATTGTAAAGAATAAGATCCTAATGATGATAATTTAATTTATAATTGCCCAGCTGGATATAAAGAGTAATCTAATACTTGTGTTTTAACAACAATACCGAATTGTTTAAGGTAATAAGATAATAATTGTTAAATATGTGCAATCAATTATTAATTAGATAATAACACTGGAAAATGTGTTTTGATTAATACTTAACCAAAATCCCCTTTTAATTGTTAAGATTCATAAGCTATATTTTGTCAATAAACAATTTTATATTCAATAAATACATCTTAAAAATAAGAAAAAAGCAAATTATGTAAATCAAATTTTTAATTTTATAATTCTGCCTCTTTTACTTGTTCAGCTTAATATGTGAATTAATGCAGGTAAACTTAATATCTATCATAATGTTATAAATGTGATAATGATTATACCTTAACTGAAGCAAAAGTATGTAAATCGAAATGTTCAAACAATTATAGATTTAATAATAATTAAATTTGTTAGAGAAGTTGTAATTTTAAATATCTTTTCACCTATACTTGTACTATTTATGGTCCTTATATAACTTATTACTGTAATCCTAATTCTTATTGTGAGTAAGGTGAAATAGATCTTGGATACTATTGCTTAAAATCTGAATAACAAAAAGAAGGAAGATCTAAAGGTTGTATATTATATGGTAAAGGTATAATACGATACGACACAATTTATTGTCATGATAATTGTAAATATTGTTTTGGCCCAAGTGATTTAAATTGTTTAGGTTGCTATTCTAATAGATATTATAATCCTTATCTAACAGCTTGTGTTGTTAATTGTAGCAGTAAAGGACTTTTCAAATTTAATAATTTATTGAAAAAAGTTTGTGAATTAGAATGTCCTTCTAATTTATACACATAAAATTTTGATTGTGTATCAGAATGTAGTTTAGGTTATGCTTTATATTATAAAACATGCTTACCAATCTAAAATATAACAGAAAATTACCTTACAACATAAATAATTTAGCCATTCTAAATAATCAATGTATTACTTGATTGTCCATAATTATGTAAAACCTGTAGTAGTCCTACTATTTGTACAAGCTGCTTAAATTTATATCCTATGGATTAAAATATGTGTGTAATATCATGCTCTCCTAAGTTTCTATTAATAGTAGATGAAATTGAAAGTGTCTGTGTATCTAGTTGTAATCCAGATGATTTAATATACTAAAATGATAATTTTAATGGTTACTCAATAAATTAATGCTTTCCTAAAAAGTGTGGATAAATTAAAGCCAACAAAATGTATCAAACTTATTTACATTAATCTGATTTTCATCGATGTATGCAACCTTGTGATGATGGATACTATGGCCATCCTGCTACTCTAGAATGTACTCCCTGTAGCAGTGATTGTTTTACTTGTTAAGATTTAGCTAATTTTTGTACTTCTTGCAATTTTATGAAATTCTTATAAGATAGTGATTGTTTTGATTCATGTGGTACCAAATTTTAAAATTATATAAATTGGAAATGTGAAGGATCTTGTTCTTCTGGATACACTATTATTAATAAAGATTAAAATATATATGCTTGTGTTGAATAATGTGGAGAAATTTACGCCACATATTTATATTCTTTGTCAAATTAATGTTTAGAAAACATTCCATTAGAAGGAGCATATTGTATAGGTAATAATTGTTTCGAATGCAATTAAAATTGTAAAACATGCACTGGACCAAATGAAAATGAATGTCTTTCTTGCTATGCTAAGACATATTTATAAAATAATTATTGTGTAATCAATTGTGGATCATAAATTTATGACATGGTTAATTGGGAATGTGTTGATGAATGTTAATCATCCACTTATAAAACAAATAATAATTTGAATTATTACTGTTCTTTAACTTGTCTATTTAATTAATATTAATTCAAAGATAAATGCTACAATATTTAACCTTCAGGAACATTTTGCCAAACTAGAACTAATTATATTTTTTGTGATACTTGTGCTGATGTCTGTAAAACATGTACTACATCCTATTCTACATCTTGTTCTTAATGTTCTTCAGGAGCATATTTATATGGAACAACTTGTTATACTGATTGTCCTGATATTGCTTCATACAAAGATACTATATCTAATAAATGTGTCACATCTTGTACTAATTATCTTGAAGATGGATTCTGTGTGAACTCTTGCAAACCAACTTCCTATATCTATCTATTAGAAATGAAATGTTATTTAATGGGATGTCCAGAAGGAACATATTAATAACCTAATAGTAATATTTGTTAACCTTGCAATATTGGCTGTTTAACTTGTAGTGGTGGAGGAACAACTTAATGTCTAAATTGTAAATAAAACTATTTTTACAATAGAGATGGATCATGTACAACTACTTGCTAAATTAACCCATATATTTTTTAGGATTAGGTTAATTTCCTGTGTGTATAATAGTGTCCCTTTGGAACATATTAATAATCTTTATTAGGAGGGGAACTTGCATGTAAAGAGACTTGTCCTCAATATTATTATTCAAATATTTGTGTATCTGATTGTCCAAGCTAAACATATAAGGATGGACAATTTTGTATAAGTTGTGCTGGTCCTTGTTCTGTTTGCTTTGGTGTTTCAATTAATTAGTGTACATAATGTGATATCGGATACTACTTGATTGATACTACTTGTGTTGAAACATGTCCTAATTCTAAACCCTTTGCAAATTTAGCTGATTAAACATGTGTTTCTACTTGCCCATCTTATTTATATTCGCCTAAAAATTATTGTTTTAGTCCTTGTCCTACATTTTTATACTATTATGAATTAAATAGTAAAAAAGAATGTGTAGATTAATGCTATTC